GCCTTAGGACTCAGTGTAGGGGATCACCCCTACATTATGCCTCAGCTCCTCACCTCAACTAATTTTGCTTGGTCCTATCTTCTCTTCTTTCCTCTTGCATATCTTCTTTATTCCCTCCCTCTATCCCATTCCTAAGGTGTGAGAGCCGTGCTGAAAGGACAAAAGGCTGGCTTTGTGTCAGTCACGAATGGCCTTCTGGAGCCATGGGCACGGTATTCCCTTGGTTAATTGCCTAGCCCATACCCCTTATGGGGACCCTGAGGGGTAGACCGTTTCTTTCCACAGGTTATTCAGACTCACCATGGCCAGTAATGAAGATTCTTTACCCTTGACAGGGGCATGAAAGCTTGCCCCTTCATCAAATAGCCTATCTGAATTTAATTTTGATGGTTTTCCAACCCCTGCCCCTCCTTTGACCATGGCTCTGACCACTGATACTAATACCCCCTCTTCGATGTTTACGAACAACTCTAACCACTCCAAAACACCCACCCAGGTTATTACTCAACCCTTAGAAAGTACCTCTTCCTCATCCCCAACATTCTCCTCTTTATCTCCTGCTTCACAGTCCTCTTCAATGTCAACCCCCTCTTCCATTATTGCTACTCTTCATCCTTATTGTCCTTCCCCTGCAGAACTACTCCACTCCAAACCACGCCCTCATCCTTCTACTACCTCTACCTCTGCAAACCTTCTTAGTACTCTCTTTGGCCCAGCCAAGTGGGATTGATTCTTTGTAATTCCCCTCACAGCCCCCTACTCAGAGAATACACTTCTCTTTCAGTAGTGCCTCCAGAAACAAGTAGGCAAGGTTACCTTTTGCAGTCGCTCTGATCGTTGACGCCTTTTCACGGTTACATCTAAAGCCCAAGTTCGTGCACAATCTACCGTAACTGACCTTACTGGCAAACTCATTCTTGCCAAACCTCATGACCGTTCAAATTGCCCTGTTCAGTCATGTACATGTGCCAATTGTGGGGACTCCCATAATGTGTTTTATAGGAGCTGCCCAGCCTATAAGTTTGAATGTGAGGTAGCAGTCATCAGATTTAAACTAGGCCTCACTCTACATGAGGCCAGACAGGAAGCACGACGATGAGGTGTTTCTCTCTCAACTTATTCCAAAACAGTCCTACACTTTGCTCTCCCACCATCTACGCAAGATGTTTCTGCATCTCCCCAGGTATCTCTCCCCCATACCCTAAACCTATGTCCTATGTCTACTCACCCTATCCACCAGTGAAATACATTTTCTATTCTAAATCCAGAGACTCCAATCTCTACCACTTCCCTGATACCTACCCCTACTCCTCACTTTAGTTGTTTTACCAGGCAACCTAAACATTCCACTTCATGCTCTCCTACTACATTGTCTCCTACACCTTTCTTTTCATTAGTTCCTCAGATATCTATCTCCTCTTCTCCTCCTAATAAAAGAACCTTTGTTTCTCAGTCCTCTTTACCCAATTCCCCTCCAGAAACCCTTGAAGAAATCCAAAACTTCTTGACCCACTTATGACGGTATATTTTGAAGCTGAAAATAACAGTTTCCGGGCAGCTTTAAAATCGGCACGCGTAAATGGGTTAAAGATGACCCAAGGGAACACTTTGCCCCATCATCCATCCCCCCAATCCCTCTGTTCCTACTCCTGCTACATTTAAAATATTTGCAGATAACCAACCTCCTCCTCCTCAAGTTCTCTCCACGCCCCTTCCTCCTGCATCCTCCCAACATCTTCCATCTTCCCCAGTCTCCCTTTCTCAGCCACTGGATTCTTCTCCTCCTACTTCTCCAACAGCCACCTCTGTTTTCCTTGATCAATGTCCCTACTCCTACCCCAGTCACTGATACACTGTTGCTCTACCCCATATTATTCCCCCGAACCGTTCCCAAAATACCTCATCCTCTCAACCACCCAAACCAAAACCCCCTCCAAAACCCGATTCCTTTCCACATACCCCATCCTCTCAAACCCCCCTCTGACCCCATCCTTCCCCACTATCCTTCCCACTCCCTCCTGGATACACAAGGGAATCTTTTATCACAATACCGTTCCCCAGACCCCACCGTCCCTATTGAGCCCCCAGACACTACTCCTTCACCTATTCCTGATCCTTTATGTCAACCCTCAGATACCTAATCCCTTAATACTAAGACAGCGATATCTACTGCTATCACCTATTATCTCTATTCCTTCCCCAGTCATAGATTTACTTAATTGCTCTACCTCCTTAACCTCGTCCTTTCCCTTTTCATTACCATACTTTCCTATAACACCCTCTAATCTTTGACATATAACACCTTCCCCTCCTCCTGGATGCTTCTCCTAATTTTCAACAGCTTTCTCTATTCTTCCTTGAACATTTTTCCTATACCTTCACCAGTGACAGATTCATTATAATTCCCTCAATTGCCCTCCCTCCTTAACCCTTCCCTTTCTACAAATTTCTACTCTAGTTCACTTGCTCCCCTTTTTTCCTTTTTCACTACCATACTATCCTATAATGCTCCCAAACCTTTGACATCAAACACATTTCATCGTAATCTATAACTCTCCTTTGCCCTTTCCGAAGCAATGCTAAATGACCTGATGTCTAGCACATTTATTTTCAAACATTAAACATTTCATATTACAAACACTTAACAGATTGCAGCAAGTTTCATTACGCTGGTCACATTTTGAGCTTTCTTTTTATTTTAATGTTGGTAAAGATAATAGTAAAATTAAACAAAAATTAACAAATTTCAAATAGTTTTTTTCTTGCAATAACTCATAACAGTTTTAGGAAATTGCAAGTTTGGAAGATACCTGTCTGGTAGCAAGATTATTATTTCTTATGATATCATTTTCATGTGTATTTGAGTAATTTTATATAACTTTCCAGCTTCCAGAAAGCGACAATTATTTCCTAAAGGGATAACTTGAAAAACTATAGCTCAAAAGATTGCAGTGGTATGGTCTACAATTGGTAAAAAAATTATGTCATAATTGCAGTGTCTTATCTTTTTTATGTGTAAAATCTTAGAGCATATAAGGTTATTTGGAGTGAGATAGCTATTTGGTAAAATTTGTATATGTGGATACTTATTTGTGCTATTTTCCCTTTTCTGAATTTCATTTTATCCTAGATGGGTTTAACTAAGCTCAACTGTTTCACAATATTTCAGGTCAAGATTACAAAACTTATTTTTCCTAAATAGTAGATAGACATTTATAAACAGTGGAAACAGAATGAAGCAAATTCTGTTTTGGTGTACTTTTTTCAAAATTATGAATCATTCTATAAACAATAAGTAGGAAATATGATAAAATATATATTTTTAATTTTCACCATTTCTTCCACATGTGACTCAGGTATCTATGAACGAGGTCCATCTGGCTATAAGCATATCTACTTCAACATTACATCCAACACCTTCAAAATCTGGATGGTGACTGTCCTCTCCATTCTTTTGATTTATGAGTCTGTCAAGAGGACGTTGCGGCTCCACTTCTCTGGTCAGGTGAGAAAGGAACATAATCACTCAACCATTGGTGGAAATGGGCTCCAGAGACTAGGATATGGGAAGGCTATATCCAGGATTTATACCCAACCACATGAGATTATACTGTGGTGCATTATCAGCAGATAGAACTGATTGTCATTAAGTTTTCATCTTTTTATTGTTTTTGTTTGTTTTTATGTATGTTTTAAAGTGTGATTATAGCCCATAATTGCTTAAAATTGATGCACATAATTGTTTTATTATGAAAACTGAATTGATTATATAATGATAGTTATATAGCTATTTAAAGGAAAAATTAAGTTTTATTAATGGAAACTTAATAGAAAGTAGGTGATGGTAAATGTCTCCGTTAGTAGACACTAGATATTAAGACATTGGAAATTTCAGAAATGGGTATATGCAACACCCCTACATATCCCCATTTCCATCACTTTATTTGCTGTTAAGGATTCTGTTCGGTAATGTGGCTTCCTTGAAGATGTGAATTTTCAGGGGCTACTTCCGTAATTGCAGCTCAAAGAAAGAAGAGATCTAGAATTGTTTTGTATAAAAAAAATTCTTCTGCTTTTCTCCTCCTCCTCCTCCTTCTTCTACTCCTCTTATGTATTTTTTTTTTTTATCTTGAGCAATTTTTCTTGGTTATTTTTTAAAGTGCAAATTCTTAGATAAACCTCTCCTAGAAAATGACAATTTAGTGCTACCCCATTCCAACTGGTCACACAAGACAAGGTTATATTCAATGAACAGCTGCAGGGATGGCTCACTACAAGAATATAGTTGACCTCTTTAGCACTTCTACTTCCTCCTGGTTTATAGTCTGCCTTTATTCGTGTGGCCACTATAGGAACTGTACCTTTATGCCTGAGTACAGAACACTTATCAAGAACCTTTCACTATTTGTGCTGTTTGTACTGTGCATCTGACTGTACCCATGATGGCTTCTTAGATTTGTCAAAAAGCCTTTGACATGTGCACAGTGTCAGATATTTGCTTGAAAAGGAGAGTGATGAATATATGAATTCTTGTGAGCTTGTATGTGAATTCTTAATATATATAGCTTTACCTATGAAGAAAGTGAAAGCAGTAATAGAATAGGATTGCATTTCTTGATTTTAAAAATTGTCATCAAAAACACCTAGTATATTAGCAATTTGATTATTAATTAACACATGCTTAATGGCAGTTTAACCATATACTAATATGTTGGTTGATAGTTTCTAAATATGGTAATGCATGGTTATTTCACAGTTTCTTGGTAAAATACCACCTGCTGATGATGGCATTATAAAACTTGAGACTTTACACTATCATGGTGGATGTGTGTAATGTGGATGTCTTGTCATGAATTTTTTTTGCTGAGGGGAAGGTGACAGAAACCACTCATCATGGGAAGTTATCACTGAGTCTTGTGGACGTCTCGTCATGAGTGCACAAAACACTCAGGAAGGGGCTTGTTCAGGAGCTCTTGCAGGATCTGAACTGGTACAAAAAGTTCAAGGTTTACCATCTGTCAACCATGCTTATGAGGGTACTGTCTCAAGGGAGGACACTTTGCCCACATGCAGGAACTGTTCCTGTCTGTGTTATGGAAAATTGAATAATACAGTAATATAAAAAAATCACACAGATAACACAATGTTCCTAATTGTTATTATGGTGGTTTTTAGCCAGTGTTTTATGAAATGCCTAGAAAACTTTAGGGAAAATTGGAAATAAGTAAGGAAATAGAATGAGGGGAAAAGAAAATAATTGAAATTATATTTTGATTTACATATACAATGCAGTAATAAGTGCTTTCATCAGGGAGCTGATTGTTTTTATTAATGTTAGGTATTGAACTTGTAAAAACAATCAGAATTCTTGTTTTTTGTAACCTGTCCATATGATGGTATGACTATGATATTAGTGCTTGCTTAGTGTGTTGCATGTTTTAAAAGGCTGAAAACTGACAACATAGAAATAATGAAACCAACATTTCGGGTAGGAAGAGAGACTCATTTTGCTTTTTCCATTTATTTTGTTGCCCTATGATAATTTAGAAATTTGATAAGAAAAAAGTTTAACTATGCTGATGATAGATCACATAGTACCATTAACCTACTGGTGATGGTTCCTTTGGAGTGCCATAAACTCTTCTTTCCAGATGGTATCTATTGCAGTGAGTAGCCACTACCGGGAACCCCTGTGCAGGCTACACACTGCGGGCAACCAAATCAGAGCATGAGCTATGATTTTACTTTAAGAAAGGAACATGGTGTTTTGCATGTACATAAAGCTAAAATGCAACTCTTGTTGCAGTGGTTGGAAATTTTAGCGTAGAGTCTCTCATATGGGTTACTCTTAATAACACATTTTCCAAGATACCTTTAGTTTTTATAAAATGAAGAGAAAAAAAAATCATTGTTTTTCCCTGTGAATGGCATCAGTGAGCTGCATGCCAAGCCTTGAAGTACCAATAGATACAGAGGCCTACATTGTAGTCAGGGCAGAAGTTCCTGCTGCTCCTCTGCTGACCCTGCCTGAACACCAACCTACTCCTACCATCAGGGATTTCAGTGATGGCGCCCCATCACTGCTATAGGTCCCTCCTCATGCAGCAGACCTTCTGTGACTCCTCTCCACCCAGGGCATGATGAATGGCCCAGGTGTTGACAATGGCTATGTCAAAATGGAAGAAAAAGACCTTCATGTACCAGAATTTGAACCAGTGAGTCTTGCCATATGATCGCCATTGTCAACAAATTTCATGCCATTGTTGTAATCCACTACCACCAATGGCTTATCCCCAAAGATTACAGCGGTATGGACTGTTGACAGCATGGTGATGGTGTTGCAATCCTTCCACTGCAAGGACAACGACCCCGTCTTGCTGTGATAGCCGACTTACTCCTCACAGTGAGGTCCTTGGGTATGAACTTTCTGTTTATCTGGGCTGTCTCAACCACATTTGTCTTTCTTGCTTGCATTTTATAAAAAGATTTGTTGATGAGTACCATTTGTCCACAAACAACTTATATCCCAGCCCATCAAATATTCGACACATCCATGGTGACTTTGACCCCAGGACTACCTTGAAAGCTGAAACACATAGGCAATTGTCCTTTTGACAAATCTTCTGGAATGTTCCTCTGCAACAGCATAGCTGCCACGTTGGAGAGGGGTTTGTTGCTGTTAAGTGTGGTGTTGACCTGGGAGACAAAATTCAGTTTGTCCTCTGAACTGGATACATTGAAGTGTGGGATGACAATGTCCTCCACCTTACTTTGTAACCAGTCATCACCACTCTCCTCGGGGGAGAGGTTGAAGAAGGTGGGAGACTGAGAGGTAAACCAAAGCACCTTGGCAGGAGGTACTGATGAAGTCAATGGCTAGTGGTCATTGATCTCAGTGGAGGAGGAGGAGGCGTCTTTGAATGCTGGCAAAGTGAGACTTTGCAAAAGTGAGCAATGAATGAGGTGCAAACACCTCTATATCTACAGGAAAATTCTTGCACTTTGACCTAGCAGGGAATATGGAACAAATAGCAGCCACTGAGGTCAAAGCAGATGTTGCTGAAGACCAGGCATTATCTCTCATGTGAGACATAATGTACGCACACATGGCAGACGGCCCAGAACAATTGTATCTCACATATGAGATGCCCTGAAATGGTCAATGCTCCAGGTATCCCACTGTCTTTAGTGGTTTAATACATTGCTATTCAGATTTATTATTGTTATTTTTTTTTATTATTATTATTATTTTTTTAACTTCATGTTTGTTATTAACTGATTTGTATTAGTAGTTTGAAATTGTGTCCTTTTCCATATCCACAGCTGCGTAAATCAATGCTGGTGCTGCTTATAGCTAGCGTGTATCCGCATTATTACTCGTGGTGGTCGTACTTTAACTACTGGAATGATGATTTCTATAGACAGTGGAATCATCAGCTCTTCTTCTCGATTACAGAACTCATCTCTACTCTGGCAGTAGTTTACCTGCTAGACAAGTAA